CAACTGATATCAGAATGGTGAAGCTGTCCTTATTCGAATGGACCAGCCATTAACTAGCCAAACCTAGTAAACTAACCGATGTGACGTGGACCGTCTTCTTTTTGACTTTGGAGATAGAATCAAAGCCATATTTAAATGAACAGAGTTCTGGAACGAATTTCGATGTAAGTCAATGCAGAAATGGAATTTCTATACATATAATGCATACCAACAAGTTTTCGGCAGTAAAAAATAAATTTTCAATGAGTCTTTACTGAAAGTGAAGAAAATTTTTAACTTGTTCAGTTATTGTTAATGGAAATGGACCTGTGCCTTGCCTTTTATGGTATATTTAGTAATAATTGATAAAAAAAAACATCATATTTTTACCCTGCATCTTTCGCTCTCCAAGGAATGCTCCCGAGAGTAGAAAAAATCGAGTATACTCTATTAATGCCCTACACCACATAGTGGTAGGGTATTATGTCTTTGTTCATTTGTTTGTAACATTTATATCTTCATCCGATTTTAGGTTTCTTGTGCACCAAATGGCTAATATCAGCCCAAATGGTGTGAATTTTCCCCTTCACCAGGGACAGGTACAGACACGATTAGTGGAACTACAGCATGAAGAATGAATATGTTTAGATGGTTTCTTAGTTGAACATGCTTAACTTGTGTCTGCAAGGTTTGAACATTTTTGCAGTTTACGAGCTTCATGAGCGCTCGTAAAAGCTACTTTTGTTGGAGAGTTGTGTTAAGAACGGCAACCAAAGATGTACGTACTTTCTGCAATTGCCGTGGGTTTATCATTGTTAAGAAACAACTTTGACACCCATTTCGGAGAAGAGATGAAAAAGCTCGAAAAGTCAAATTCTGGACAAACTAACAACTAAGGTGCCGACAAAAGCAATTGACTGATCGGGAGATTTATCACTTTGATTTTTATACCCTACACCACAAGGTGTTCAAGGTATTATGTCTTTGTGCATTTGTTTGTAACGTGCAAAAGGATCGAAATCGGTTCAGATATAGCTATAGCTCCCATATATATTGTTCATCCGATTTGTTATTTTTGTCATCCGCAGCCGTAATATGCATTCTGTAACAACAATATTTGGGGACAATCCCACGGCAGCGGGTTCTACGATACCGGATTGACCCGAAACAACAAGATTCCAGTTTCGGCCAGCGGCTGCCAACCCAGTATGTACATGTTTGTGTTTGTTTATTTTTCTGCATTGGGAGCAGCATATCCCGGAATGCTTGCTCCGGATTTTATTGGTCCGTGCCGGGATTGAGGAAAACCCCGGACCTTGGTTCTGCTCGGTTTGTCAGAACGTCATCCACCACAGATCTGTCTCGGTGCGATGTAATGGATGCTTGAGCTAGTCTCTAGTGACCCATACATGGAATGTATGGGGGTAGCAGTCAAGTGTGGAACTGCCGAGGTAGAGGTGCTTAATGTGTATATCCCGCCGATTAATAGCTGTGAACCACGTTATTTGCCTGATATTAGCCCATTATTGGTAGGCAATAACCGCCTGGTACTAGGGGATTTTAATGCCCACCATGAGTTGTGGCATTCCGTCCTAGGTAATGACCAGAGGGGATCAGCGCTGGCAGAGCAGATTGACTGCTCCACATTCTGCACGGTTAACGAGGATGCCCCCACCCGAATAAGAGGAGAGTGTCACAGTTCGCCAGACTTAACCATAGTGTCACCCGGTCTGATAAATGACGTGACTTGGCAACCCGTCATTTCTCTTGGCTCAGACCATCTCCCGATAATCGTCTCCATAAGCAGGTCGCCCGATTTCATAACCTCTGAACGCCGCACTTTCCTTAACCATGGGAAAGCTCACTGGCCAGAGTTCAGAGAATTCACCAACCGCCACTTCAGAGAACTGCCCAACCCTTCTGATGTTCGGGTAGCAGAAAGGATTTTCCGAAACATCATCAGAGCTGCAGCCGCTCGCTATATACCTGGTGGTCGAATACCCGAGATAAGACCAAACTTCCCAGCAGAGGCAGCGGGATTAGCAAACGAGCGTGATGATCTCCGTCGTACCAACCCTACTGATCCTAGAATCAGTGATTTGACAGTGGAAGTCAACCGGTTGGTACAGGAGCATAAGAGGAAAAAGTGGCTAGACCATCTGAAGTGCTGCAACATTGGAACCGATATGAGTAAGCTGTGGGTAACGGTTAAGTCGCTCTCGAACCCTGGAAAAAAGGATGATAGGACCTCAGTCACTTTTAACGACGTAACGGTGACCGATCCGAAGAGGTGCGCGGAATATTTTAACCGACAATTTGTCGAGCACCCCGAGAGTGATAGGGCGAAGCGAAGAGTACTACGTCGTATCAGATCTCTTCCCGCCGAGGAGGAACCACCACAGTTTACGATGGGTGATGTTGCAAATGTCATCCGTAACGCTAAGTCATCCAAAGCGTTGGGCCCGGACGGAATCTCAATGGTAATGTTGAAGCAGCTGGATACGCCGGGAGTCGAGTACTTAACGAAAGTTCTCAATTTGTCGCTAGCCACCCACATAGTGCCCGAAACCTGGAAAATGGGCCGGGTGGTCCCGCTACTGAAGCCAGGCAAGGATGCCAGTAAAGGCGAATCGTACAGGCCGATTTCGCTTTTGTCACCAGTAGCAAAGACTCTTGAGGCTTTACTCCTCCCCAGCATTAGAGGAAGCTATGCAGTTGCCAACCACCAGCATGGATTCCGTCCACAACATAGTACCACAACAGCATTACACGCCATTTCCACACATATTAGTAGAGGACTAAACCAGAACAGGCCGTGTGACAGAACAGTGTTGGTAGCCCTTGACCTATCAAAGGCATTTGATACGGTCAATCATGCCACACTGTTTGAGGACGTACAGAGAACTACCCTCCGGCCAAGTTTGAAACGTTGGATAATCAACTATATGTGTGGACGCCAGTCGTACGTGGAATTCCGGAACAAGAAGTCCAAAGCCCGTAGAGTGAAACAGGGAGTTCCCCAAGGTGGGGTGATATCTCCGGAACTGTTTAACCTCTACCTTTCCGGAATTCCTCGCCCTCCAGACGGCATTGAGATCGTAACGTATGCGGATGATTGTACGATCATGGCGTCGGGTCCAGTGGTCGATGACATATGCGAAAGGTTGAACCCCTATCTCGCGGAGCTTGCCGCATACTTCCACGCGAGGAATATGAAAATATCCGCCACGAAATCAACGGCCACACTCTTTACCACATGGTCTGCGGAGATGAGAACACAGCTGAATGTTCAGGTCGTGGGGAATTTAATACCGACCACGAACTACCCCAAGATTCTTGGGGTAACGTTCGACAGCATGTTCAAGTCGTCCGCGCAAGCCACAGCTATCTGCGACAAGATGAAAAGTAGGAACAAGGTCCTCAAGGCGCTAGCCGGCAGCTCTTGGGGTGCGGACAAAGAAACCTTGTTGACCTCTTATAACGCGATAGGTCGGTCTGTGGTCAACTATGCGGCTCCAGTGTGGTCTGCGAATACTAGTGCTACGCAGTGGAAGAATATCCAGACCTGCCAGAACGCTGCCCTGAGAACTGCGACAGGGTGCCTCCTCATGACACCAGTGGACCATCTACATGAGGAGGCGAAAGTCCTTCCCTTACGTCAGCATAATCATATGCTTTCGTTGCAGTACCTGCTTGGGTGTTACCGTGAGAGCCATCCCAACCATCATATGGTGGATAACTCTCCCCCACCCAGGCGTGTCAGGAAGGACATACATGATCTAGAGAGGGAGGTCCAGCGCTACAAGAGAGAGCCTCTAGATCAAGAAGCCTATCAGGCAGGTCTGAGTGGCATTCACACCGATGCAGTCGCGGATGCTATTAGCAGTTATAAAGTGAATGCCGTCCTCGGAGTCCACCCCCCATCCATTGCAGCCGAAGAACGTCAGCTGCCTAGACAAACCAGGGTAGTTTTGGCGCAATTACGTTCAGGATGGTGTAGTCGCCTCAATTCGTATTGGGCACGAATTGATGAAGATGTGCGTAACGCCTGCCCGGCGTGTGATACAGGCCCGCACAATACGCTACACCTTTTTAATTGCTCAGCCAAACCTACCCAACTCACTCCAGAGGATCTCTGGCTACAGCCCGTTAAAGTAGCCGAATTTCTAAACCTGGAGCTGGAACCAAATTAGCAGAACACAAACACACACATGTACTACTGCTACAACAACAACAACAACAATATTTGGGGAAATATATATATATATTGCTAAATTTTATCGAGATCGGTTCAGATTTGCATATAGCTCCCATATATATTTTTATCCGATTTCTAATTAATTGTGCACCAAATGGGCAATACAAGTCCGAATTTAAAAGATGCAAACGTTTCGGCATATTTAGTCCTTTGAACTTTAAATTATAATTATAATCATAGCGTGTATTATTGAATTCTCCCATAAAAACTTTTAATTGTTATGCGGAGCTCTAGTAAATTAGCAAAGTTGTGTAGGGTATCATAAAGTCGGCCCGCCCGTACTTTAAGACTTACTTTACTGGTTTTTAATTGGAGTTCGAAATGGGTATCACCTCTTCTGTACAGGGTATTACCTCCTGTATATTTTTTCTATATCCACAGAACGAAACGTTTGCAAACGTTTCCAATAGTTTATTTTCGTTCGCTGTGTATATCCAACGCCAGGAACTCGTTTCATAGTTTTTCTCAACTTCATATTTTTTTTAGTTGAAAAAAGACCAAGTAAAAAGATTTTTAGTCCCACAATCCTGCTTTTTTTAAGAACTGGAGTACTAAGTTAAATTGTTGCACAAGCTTAAAAACAGTGCTCATATCATAATTATAGGTCTAATAGAAGGAGATGTATCCAGATGATTGTATCCAAGCTTTTGGATTTAAAAAATTGTCGAAGTATGTATTAAATCTCATTTTTTTTTTTTTTTTTTTTGATTTGGTGAAAACTCTGAAAATGATCTGTATACAAGGCATACCATGAGGTACTTACGACTGAATGAACTGTCCAAGCTGTCTGTTACATAGCGATGTTCGGGATGGAGTTTCATGCGATTCGTATAGATGATATATTCTAATGAAGGTGTTGTTTTATTTCCTTCAATGGGAAATTTAAATTGTACACCAACACAACTGTCTTTACATTCCTCAATAGTTTTCACCATTGCTTCGGTATGGGAGAATCCTTTCATCTCCAAGGGAGAACCGCACTTCTCTTCCATGAACGAAATGACTTCCGCTGTATCGGGAGCAAAGAAAGTTTGATCAACATCGAAGAAGCAACCATTTAGCTGAACGAAAAATAGCAATATAACAAATCAATCTCTGCGTATTTAGTGTATATCGATTACCAATGTTTCCGGGCTAGAAGGACTGTAAAACTCCATTAAGGGCTGTATAGGCTGGTACATGAAACGAAGAAGTAAGTATTGCAATCCAAAACAGACGACCAAAATGAATCCAATACTTTTGTAACGGAATCGCAATACCATGAGCTGTTTGTAGAAGAACAGCCAAAAGGCATTTGCTCTATCCATGTTGTAAAAACTATACAGCTTTATTCTTTACATCCCAAATAAAAAGAATATTTAAAGCAGTAAAAAACAATCATACAAAAGAACTACACCCAAATGAACAATCGGAACTCTATCCAAATCTTTCGTTCAGATAGTTCTTTTAGTTCATATAATATCTTTAGTTCATCTATTTCAATTCACTGACCTTCCTCTTATACCATGTTCTCATTGCAAATTAATCACGAACACGGATTACCTCGTTCAAACGTTACGATTCGTAATTCATAATAACCATGGCAGAAGAATACAGGTAGATGCATTAACGCTTGGGAGCATTGATATGTCAAAAAAATTTAAATGTTTTTTTAAATATAAGTAGATTTTTATATATTTTCTTATACTACGTCATTCGGAGGTTATTATAACTCGCGTTTTTCAAAAATTTTTACAAATTCAAATAATTTTTCATTCAACATTTTCAATTCCAAAATTGGTTTGACAGTTCATTGTCCCAGCAGCTGTGTCGACGCGTCTACCTATATTCTTCTACCATGATAATAACATTATTCCTATTCTCATGCATTTAGTTATCTATCTTTTAATGATGACATTTTAAATCTATTTTGGTATTTTTCTATTCTTAAATTCAATTGGTGGGATCAATGTTAAAATTATTATTGGTCTGTTCCAGAACTTGCAATAATATACTAGTTTCGCAATTTTCTTCGATATCATCAAATCAAAATCGGTTATTATAGTAAAAACTTTTATATTCTTGCAACTCTGGAGCAGACCATATATTGTCGATACAAAAATTCACAAATTAATGGCTTTTTGGTTTCCAACTCATGGACAAGAAGTGTACTTCGATGAGAGAGAATTCGTTTGAATGCCTTGCGACATTCGGCCTTAAGGTGCAAGTACATGGCTAGGCATATTAATGTCAAATTATAATGGAAAACGACGACAGGGTTTAATTCCTTTATGAAATGTCACAAAATATGCCTAGCCATGACTTCAAGCTCTTTATGTACTTGCATCCATGGTACAAGGTAGAGCTACCAGCTGATTACAATTTTTTTAAGTGTGCCCGGCTTCTGCCAATTATGTGTATGTATTTGTTGTTTTGAAAAATAAAAAACAAAATATTTTCAAAATCAATGATTAGAAGAAACTTTAATTGCGGGGCACGCATTAATAATATTAACCAGATTTGCCATGGAATTGAAAAATTGAACACTTAGGATCATATTTTTGAGAGAACATTCAGGCATGTCATTCATCTTTCGCGCTTTTTGACTCATTTTAAAAATTAACAAAAAATATCAAATTATTGATAAGAACTTGTTGCCTATAATTTTTATATAAGGAGGTAAAAACAGCTAATATAAAAAGGAGGTAAAACAGCTTCGTAAAACTATAGAAATACATCTCTGAAGCTATGCCCGCTTCCTGTCAGAAATATTCAAAATTATACGCAACAAGTTGTTTGCGAATATTTCACATTTTTTTTCTCATTTTTAAAATGGCTCAAATAAAGGGAAAGTTGAATGAAGTGCCTGCATTTTATTTCAAAAATATGATCCAGAGTGTCCAATCTTTCAATTCCATGGCTAAACTAGTTAATATCTTCAAAGCGCGCCCTACAATCCACGTTTCTTCATTGATTTTGAAAATATTTTGTTTTTAGTTTTCAAAACAATAAATACATACACAAAATTGGCAGCTGGTAGCTCTACCTTACCTTTTCATTGTACCATGATTATATACCATGGTAGAAGAATACAGGTAGTCGCAACGACACAGCTGCTGGGACAATGATCTGTCAAACCGATTTAGGAATTGATAATCTTGAATGAAAAATTATTGAAATTTGTAAAAATTGTTGAATAATACATATCATTACAACCTCCGATTTGCGTCGTATAAGAAAACATATAAAGATCTACACATTTTGACAAAACATTTTATAATTTTTGATACATTATTTTTGTACTATGTTATATACAGCCCTGAGGATATGCCCGCTTCTTCTTTCATCGTAGTTCTGAAAAATGATTTAAATGAAATAAGGAACAAAAATCGCTGTTTGTTCGGAAATGTTTTTGTGGGGAACTAAGTGAAAAAGAGAGGGAAAAGTAGCGAACTATCAAGCTTAAGTCCAATTTTTGTCATATAATTGTTATGAGCTGGCAACTTTTTAAGTTGTGCATGTATCATGGTAGAAGAATTCTAGTAGATGCATTAACCCTCGGGAACATTTATATATTATAAGTTTTGATTAAAAATAAGTTGAATTTTTAACGTTTTATTTCACGGAGCCATTCGGATGCTATGGTATTTATATCTCAACAATTTTAACGTAATTGAATAGTTTTTCATTCAGAAATGTTAATTTCAAATTAGTTTGACAGCTAGTGAAATTTGCTAAAAATCAAATATCATACAAAGAAAATCCTTTTTTACAGATATTTTTTAAATATTTTCCAACTCTCCCACCATGTTTCCTTCTAAAAATACGTTGGCACACAAAACTTTATGGCTGGTTTTTACATCTTGCCGATAGATAAAAAAGTGATGTTGTGGGACACATAAATCGTTTTTCGTTATTACAAGTTTCATTTAAGTATGAACTGTCCGATAAGCAAAATGTCAGAACATCTTCCCTTTATCTTTTAAAATAAAGTTTACTGAATTCATGTTGCCATATTTTTCATTGATAATATGGCAATAACAGCAAAATTTATTTACATAAAAAATGGATAACGCAAATCGTTTATTTTATATTGAAAAATTGAAATATAAATTTATTTCACGAAATTAATTACAAATTCGCATTTTGTGTATTATTTTTAAACTAAAATGAAGATGTCATTGTGAAAAATGCTGTGAATACCAGTTACTTTTAAAAAAATTGCCGTATCTCTGTAAAAAATGCATATATTTTAAAGGAAAGATGTAATAATGGGAATCCGATAATGTGAACTTTATACTTCACTTTTCCTAAAGTAAGGGATAACAAAAGTGGACTATAAAGGAAAGACCATGGTAGAATAATATAGGTAGACGCATCGACACAGCTGCTGGGACAATGAACTGTCAAACCAATATTGGAATGGAAAATGTTGAATGAAAAATTATTAAAATTTGTAAAAATTGTTGAAAGACGCGAATTATAAAACATATAAAAATCCACTTATATTTGAAAAAATATTTAAAATTTTTTGACATATCAATGTTCCCAAGCGTTGATGCATCTACCTGTATTTTTCTACCATGGGAAAGACATAAGAACGGGCCTATCTCAGTTAACACTGACTTCTGAATAATCGCAATGAATGTGAATTGCAAAGTATACGATAAAATTATTGTGATTGGTCAATTATCGAGGATAATGACGCTTTAAAAATACGCTTACACTGCCTTTACACGGTGCAATTTTTAGCTGGCATTTTTATCAATTCTCTTTTAAAATTTCTGCGTTAATCTTCGCGCCTTTACACGGTGGCATTTTACGATAATAGTACTTGGCATTTTATCTGACATTTTGTTTTATTCAGTATTTCGCATAGAGCTAATTGTTTGTAACCGATATTTATAAAGAAGTGATTTGAAATTAAATGTGTGAATCTAAAGAAGAAATGATGGAAAAAGTTATTGAGGTGTTAAATATTGCATTATTAACTATTATTTTAACTTTCTTCTTTTGCTTTTTAATACTTCCAATTAATTTTCATATAATTCATTATACAATTCAATCACTAAAAACATAACATCACAATAAAAGAAACGCATCAAAAATTACAATAAAGAAACGATATGAAATGTCAAAATCATAAAAAATTCGGAAGAAGCAAAAAGGTGGCTTATCGTGCCATTTTTTCTTCTATCTTTGTCTCTCTACACCTTTTACCAACAAAAAAATGGCATGGTTAAAAAATGTCACCGTGTAAAGGCAGTGTTATATACAAATTATCTACCCGGAATAACCCTTATAACCGACCAATCACAATAAATTTAATGTAAGTTTTGTACGGTCATGTTTATTATGATTGGTCAATTGTTAGGTTTACCCCGGGTAGATATATTGTATGTAAAGGTACTTCTAGATAAAAAAATTACCCGGATTAACAGACATCATCAGGATTTGTTGCTTAAAGTACGTATATATATATGAGGGTTAACCCACTAGATTTGGATTTAAATTGTCATATCCATTACTTTTACTTCAAATAAATCCTCTCAAAGTAGGTTAACCCTACAAAAAGTTCTAACGTAAACATGGCATTAATTCTGATTTATTTAAACAGTTTTAAGTTCATATTTACCCATTGTACAATGCAGACAAGGTAGGGCATATCAATCACCCATAGTAGAAGAATATAGGTAGTCCCATCGACACAGCTGCTGGGACGATGATCTGTCAAAACAATTTTGAAATTGAAAACTTTAAATTTAAAATTATTCATTATCGTTAAAATTGTCGTCAATGTATATCATAACAACCTCCGATTGGCATCGTATAAGAAAAATTATAAAAATCTACTTATTTTTGAAAAAACATTTAAAATTTTTCGACATTTAAATTTTCCCAAGCGTTGATGCATCTACCTGAATTCCTCTACCATGCAATCACCTGAATACAATTTTTTCTTTTGATAGTCTTGTAATGTTTAAACATACATGACTCACTGAGAGAAGCAATTAGGAAAATGCAAAACTCCAGTACATTGTGTCAAATAACCATTTATATTTTTTCATAAAATTCTTATATTTAAGGAAAACACATAAGACAAAATGTCAGAACATCTTCCCTTTATCTTTTAAAATAAAGTTTACTGAATTCATGTTGCCATATTTTTCATTGATAATATGGCAATAACAGCAAAATTTATTTACATAAAAAATGGATAACGCAAATCGTTTATTTTATATTGAAAAATTGAAATATAAATTTATTTCACGAAATTAATTACAAATTCGCATTTTGTGTATTATTTTTAAACTAAAATGAAGATGTCATTGTGAAAAATGCTGTGAATACCAGTTACTTTTAAAAAAATTGCCGTATCTCTGTAAAAAATGCATATATTTTAAAGGAAAGATGTAATAATGGGAATCCGATAATG